GAGCGGGGGGAGGGGAGGGTGAGAGAATTAAAACCAACACTTCAGCCCAAGTTACAGGAAGTAACACTTTATTTCATATATTTATCTTTTTTCTTTCTTAGAAAGAGTTAAGATAATAAAAATAAAACCAACAAGCTAATTAAAACTCAGACTGCTTTTGGTCTTCATTCATCCCCATAATCAAGAACAACTGCTTTTCAAAGTAAAAATCCTGTACTGATAAGCACACATAAGCATGGTAAGAAGTGCCTGAAAATGGTCACAAAAATGGAACTGCCCAACCAGGCAGCCATACCATGCTAAATCAGTGACTCACAGGAAATAACTACTTTATTTCAAGAGAAGTCTAAACATTACAATTCAAATCAAACCATAAAATCAGGAGAGTCAACATCTTTATCTGTGTAACAGTGTTACTGCAACCAATGGGGCAGAGGGCCTGCCTACATTCCTTTAACAAGACAAAGGCTTTCTCCTCTTGCAAACACCTCTTTTATGAGAATGAGCATATGCAAGCTTTTAATATTTGAAGGTGCTACAGCAGAACATGAGAAAAACAGACAAGAGTATGAATCTTATCTTAAACAGCTGAACCATACAAAAGCATTCTTTTAACTCCTATTATCTAATCACATATTTTCTGAATGTGCAATCTTTGTACGACTGCTTGCAAACACCTTTTTCTACTATAGATGAACCAGGGGGAAAAAAGTTGGTTCACAGAAGCTTGGATTCTACTGTTTACTACCCTTTCTTTTGCTGACATGCTAGTTTTTTGGTTTTGGATTTTGGTTTGGTTTTTTTTTTTCTTTTCATTTTCTGCATAGCCAGGCTACTCCAAAGTAAATGCACACGAACTTAATGACTTTCTGTAGCTGCAGTTCCAAAATTGTACTAACTACTGCAGACATTTAAGTACAATTTCTCAGGATACTGTTGCTTGTTAAAAAGGACTGAAGTATAAAAAATGGCTCAGCTCCAAAGATTCTATTACAGCAGACATTGGTACTACCTATACCTGCATTTTTTTGTAATACTACTAAAGCCATTGTTTCTCTGTACTCAGTTCTCAAGTAGAGAAGTATAAAGCTCCTCCTGAGAAGAACAACTTCCTTCAAAGAACAATCAGAGCGAGGTGGACAAAAAGGGGGAAGAGAATTACTGATAACAGCAGCCCTCAAAGGACCAGATTAAGAAGCCTCTCTTCCCATTACCAAAAGGAATTCAGTAAAGGGAACCTCACAAATACCTGTGAAAAAGAAAAAAATCTGCAAGACGGCTGCAGACTAGCTTCAACAAGTTTGCATTTCCACCCTGGATAATACTTTTATAAATGGATACAAAACTAACTCAGCAAATGTTTGGGGTTGGTTGGCTGGCTGGGTTTTAGGTGGGTTTTTCTTCTCCCTCAACTCTTACTTGCAGGGGGTGGGGAAACGCACAAGGAAGAGGGGAAGAGCACACTTCTTGCATACCGTTTTTAAAATCACACAAATACGTCAAGAGGAACTTAATCATCAAACCTTTGATTTCAACAAATAAAAAGAACAGACCCTATCATGCTTTATACATACAAGAAATAAAATAGTAAATTTTAATTCTTCTATTTAGGTGTGCCCAGAAAACTACTAAGTTATCAGCTACTAAATCACTCTTTGAAATATAAACTCATACTAGTAGAAGCGTTTCTTAAAATTAAATTAATTTTAAAATGTACTTATCATTAATATGCAAATTAAATCTTTAAATTTATAGCAAAACCTAAAGATTATGGAAGTGGACAACATTAAACCACTCCACTTGCCACAATTTCAATATACAGTAGTTTAGCAATAGCTAAAGAACAGGAAAGAAAAAAAGCATATGACTTCCTATCCCTAAACATTCAAACAGTAGTATGTCCTTTTTAAGTCAGTATTAAATTAGCAGAGAAACCACTTGCTTTTATAGTAGTCCAACCCACAGAAAAATCCCAGAAAGTAACAAGTCTTAAAACACAGCATATGTACTAACTAAATCCTCATCAATAAAATATAAAAGGAGATATGCATTCAATATTTAGAAAGTTATCCTAGTGCAGTTGAATACAGGATTACTATCTGGTTTTCTTTACTACAAGGACTTAATTCTAGGAGACAAATTACTCAAGAGGAAATCTAGTCTTCCAGTTTCTGCATCACTGAAATAATTTTAGTCTCCATAGTTGTATTCATTTTTTCGTTCATATTAAATGCTAAATAGAAACAAGTTCAGTAATTTACTGGGAACTTCAGTTAGCAATATTATATGTTAGTTATTAGAAACAAATATATTTTTATAGTCATGATTTTGATCAGTCATGTAACTTTTCAAAGTTTACCATTTCCTTTGTACTGTAGAAAATATTCTTAAACTAGATCAAATCATATTTCTAAGCAAGTATTCAAAAATAATAAAAATGACTTTTGATCTGTGACCTTTTAATGTCACATCTGAAGTATAAGGTTTAAATGCGTGATAAGACAAGCTTATAATAGAAACACTGTCATGTACTGGCAGAATTCCCAGCTATATCAAGTTGCATAAACCAGACTTGTAACAAAGCAGCAGCATGTTTCTGGCTACCACCTTGCCAATCTGAATGCAACTAATATGACCCACAAGAGATTGATATCCACTTTCTATACGCTACGTAACAGACAGAAAAAAAGATTAGGATTATAACTATACAAAGTGTTATCTTATTCATCATTTATAATTAACACCCAATTTGTAGCTCATAAGTCACCGGAGATTCTTTGGAGTGCCTCTCACATTCACACCCCAGCAAACTGGTTCAGTAATTTTGATAGCATGGGTTTTCTTTTTTTCCTTCCCTCCATGAAGGGTTTAAACATATGAACCCCCCCAAAAGACTTGCTTCTTTCTGCAAACACAAGTGGGGAAAAATAAAGTGATGATAAACTGATTTTTATGGAGTATGCATCTCAAATAGCAAGCCATGACCTCCCGATGAGACATGGTTTACTGGTGGACTTGGTAGTGCTAGGTTAATGGTTGGACTTGATGATCTTAAAGGTCTTTCCAACCTAAAAGATTCCATGATTCTAAAATACTATTGATACACTATTGATAACTTTGGCTAGATATCATTTACTATGCTAGGGGGTTTTGTTGTTTTGTTTATTTAACTTTCTAGTTTTGTGTGCTCAGAATAGGTTTACATTTGAACAAATCAATTAAAGAAAAGTAAACTTTCTAACACCAGGTATGCAAGAAGTAGGTATCCAATACTTGATTGTGAAGCTGAAGATGGTAGTGCTTTAACTGCTAGAAGATGTAGGCAATATCACAAAGCATGTCTAGTGACTGAAATTTCTCTTTGAAGATACATAGTGAGCAGAAAGACATTCTCCCAAACTACAAGGAACAGAAGCCTAAAACCAGTGTTACAGCATCAAGGAAAAATCCATGTCATGTAGGATTTCCGAAGGGCAAAGAAAAGGAACACACTTGTGGAGCACTCAGAATAGAGGAAAGACAGTACAAAAATATGCTAAACATATAGTCATCCAAGAAGTACAAAGGCCTGTTGGAAGTCATGTTAAAAATGGACCTGGCTTAACATGTTAACATAAACAATGTTTTAATTCTTGAAGCATCTTAAGCCCTGTGTCTGACAAATTTATTAATAATCACAACCATCTTTTCCACAGTCGATACAGCAGCATCAACCACCTAACTTCAAAATCATCCTCTAAGTAATTAAATGCCTTCCACTCACATTGCTACATTAGAAGAAAAAGAACACAACTTGCCACAAGTTGCACACACAATCCTACAACTTGCATTAAGAAAAATTGATTTAATTGTGGTGGTGTTTTAAGTTCTTCAATTAGGAAAAAACAGAAATATTGTTTTGACACTAACCAAAAAACAAAGATGAATATGACAACTGAATTATATAATTATTCCATCTGTGTTTGTACTTGCCTAGCAATACTTTAGCATCTTCCACATCAAAATCTCCATCTCCATCAGCATCATATATCCCAAGCTTGCCTAGAAATGCAAAGAGAGGAAAAAGAAAGAATTAGTGATTCAGCAGTTTGTTTCAAGCACAGTGCTTTCAATGTGTGATGGTTGACTGTCAATGCTAAGCCGTTACCTTTTTTTTTTTTTAAACGATTTAGCCATACTCTTCTTAACTGTATTTTAAAAATTCCTATTAAAAATATTTTAAGTTCCTTTCTGCATTTCCTAGACTTTAGACCGAATACAAGTTAGTCTTTTCCCCACACATTTATTTTGGTGCTTGCAGATTTAAAACAAACCTCTAATTAAGTGATGTGCTTTATGCGAACGTGCTTTGCTCAGAATAAAATTTAAGTTCACAAGGAACATTCAACACGTTTGAGGGAAAAGAAATAATAAAGCAAGAATTAATCAAATAATCACTGTTTGTTTTCTGATTATATGCTTCTTGCCATTCTGAATTCTCAGAAAAAGAAGACAGGTATATAATTTTAGTGCCAAGTTAATAGAAGCTAAGAAACCTACTTCTTGGACAGAGGAAAAACATTCATCATTTTATCAACAACAGTATGACATTCACTGCAGACAAAAAAATCGTCCATCCTTTTGTAGGCAACTATATGTGAATACACCAGACTTTTCACTTTTATTTTTGAAACTGCAGCTCTACCAGACTTAAGTAGAATCAAAAGGAGAACCCAGTTTCTATTAAAAAAATAATTTTTAGCATAGTTGTGGTATCCAGGATTTGAAGTGTCCTGGGATCACCAAGTGAGTAGAGAGCTATCTAATTAGTTTTGATAAAATTCAGACATAACTCTTAAATGGATTGAAACTCTGCACACAGTTTGTGGAAGAATTCTGAGTCCTTATAGCTTGCCAGTTTATTTGTACATTTGTAATTCTCTAAATGGAGACAGAGCTTGATTTCCATTAAAATAAATAAGATATAGCTCTTAGTATGTTACTTAGAAAATTAGAAAACATTTTTGTGGAAGAAAAAGTTCAGACTTTGGTCTAAAATAGACAAAAATAAGGCCATCACCATTTTACATAAGCAATCAGTTAGAAATGACCTTTATCAGTTTATGGCTAAACACAACGGACTGGTGGAATAAATGTAATTCTCTAGAAACAAAAAGAATTGTATTATCTTCAAACCCATGAAGAATGAGACAGATGAGATATGACTCAGTTTCATGGCACTGTAGAAGAACAGTAATTCTCTAGAAAATTAAAAACATAAAAAAAGTAAACCAAAATTTTTAGCCAAGGGACTGTAAAGCAATCTTGTTTCTCTAATATCCTACCTTGTAGGACCTCTGACAAGTTATAACGGAAATCCTTTGCTTTGGCTGCATGCATGGTAAAAATATAGAAACCATTATTTGCATCACTAGACCCAATTAAACCAGAAGCCTCTCTTACAATCAGTCCAGATCAAAAAAAGCATGTACCAACAGACTTGTAAAGCTGTAAAGCCTGCAGAAGTGCATATTAAAACCTAGAAGGTCAGGGACAATAGCTCTACCTATGGACATACATCTTGAAATTTGAGATGTTAATTTTCACCTTTAGATATTATATTAACAATACTATTTTAACATTGTCATACTGAGATACAATTATCACCATTATAAACTTAAACTGAGGTTGTTCAACAGCTCATTCACAAGAGTATGACTGTTGTCCTGACTCTATAGGTGACATAGTCCACTGCTGCAAGTTTTTGAGCATTTAAAACTGAAATAATGCATATTTAGCTGACATTTCAAATGAGCTACAGCATACATGTTACATGATCCAGATCTATCCTTGGAAATTTCTTCAGTTCTTTAATAAATGCAGTATGTTAATAACCTTTTCCAGTCTTATGAGAATCCCATTTTAACATCATAATAGACTTCAGCATTAAAATGTACTTTTTGAACTACATTGCCTATTCTTATCATGTAGGTCATTCACAATACCACAGTAGTCAATTCAGCTATCTAAAATTTAAAATGGCCTCCATTTAATGTCTATTATAATAATTATTAGAAGCATCTTAAGATCTAAAATTCTTACCTAGAACTTCTTCATAATCTACAAGTTCAAACCAGACAACTGCTACTGACGTCCAAACTCCCAGCAAAGCAATTACCATAAACCAGGTGAAAAATGAGCTTCCAGAGAGGCCTTCTTTCTTTCCATTCTTGCTTCCTCCATGCTTAGTCTCTGTTAAAGTAAGGCAAACAGGAAAAATGGATTTGTATAAGAGTTAGAAAATTATGATTGAGGATATAATTGTAAATCTTCTTTCTTATGACTACACAGAATACAAGATATCTGACTAACTTTTCTTTGGATTTTTTTTTTCTTGTTTGTTTTTAACTTCACCACTGTTACTTGCTTTTAGATCACTGCGAATTACTGTGGGAAGCTCGATGATTATCTAAGTAAAAGCCTTATAACCAACCAAACACCAAAAATCCACATGTAATTTGTCTTAACAACTTAGTTGGAAATCCCCCCTTCCTCCCTTTTAGTGTATATTTATACAGAGCTTAACATTTCTGAGATACTTCACATTTGTGCCAACAGTTCTCAAACTGCCACCAGAGGGCAATACGACCAGCAGAAACAGTTTGGAAGACAAGCATTTCTTCTGTAGCAAGTTTCAAAGCTAGTTGAATTAGCTCACGGAATCAACACGAGAATTCAAATAGCCCAAGAAGCCTAAAATCTAAACCATACTAAGGGTAAGACTCCAAGTTCAGACACTCTACCAACTAAAAATATCCCCCCTGTTGCTTAGAATCAAGGAGAGATTCACTACATGATGAATACCTTTAGACTTCCAGTCCCATGGAACATACAAGTAAAAGGATGACACAGAGACTTAATGCAAATCACAGCTTTATTTATAGCTGCACATATGGAAAATAAATGTATATAAAAATACAGTAGTTATAAACAAATCACTGGGAAAGCCAGATCTCAACTTCGCATATGGATAGGGTCTTTCAAATGGGCACCACCACTAGAGAAGACATAAAATGCTTGGTCCATTGCTTTAGGATTGTTTTCGGGAACAAGGGATACATGTAGCAAATAATGTACATCCAAAACGATGCCTGTGGCCTTTGTCCAAAGCTCAAGGTCTGCTCTGCTGCCTCCCAATACCACCGCTGCAAGGCATCGATCACCATGATTGTGAATATCAACATGACTGGTTTTTTAGAATAAAATTGGTTTTTAGAATGAAATGGAGCAGCTCTGAAAGATGAGTAATGAGAGATTGCTGACTGACTGACTTATTTCTGGTTGCAGTTTCATGTCTACCAGCCTATACCACTTCATTCCCTTCTAAGCACCAGCCTTTGCCCATTCAGTCACATTCAGTCCTAGTTATAGAAGTAAAACTATTTCTTACAGATTTTAAATCCTCGAGGAACTTGGCCAGGAATATTGTTATAATATAAGGTGAGGAGTTAACTTTATCATACTGTGTGTAAGTCATGTTTGATGTATTTATCAACAATGATCACAGAAAAAAGACAAAAAGTATTCTCAACGGCTAAATATCAACATGATTGTTTTTAGAATAAAATGGAGCAGCTCTGAAAGATGAGGAATGAGAGATTGCTGACTTACTTATTTCTGTTATAGATATTATATAGTACTTTCAGACCTTGCTTGCCATCAGGTACACAGCTGTAATAAACTAACCTTTTATTACATTCATTGTGCTATATACTGAGTTCAGACCAATAAAAAAAAAAAACCACCTCATGTCAGCTTTTACTCAGCTCAGCATTTTACTGAAAAAAATATTCTTTTATTAAGACTACTCCATACAAAGCTCAAATAGCAACTATTTAGTTTCTTTTCTATATTAAACATAAAGTTGCATTGGTATAGGCTGTCCAATAACATTCAGAGAGAAACACAGACAACTTAGCCTCCTATCAAGCATGTATTACTTGCTACTACCCAGTTCCCTAATTATGTATGTTAAGGGTCCATATATACATAACTCATCGTAACATCTCTCTTTGTGGGAAAGATGTACAGGTAACCTGAAAATAAAGGCAAAGACAAGCAGTGTGTGCCAGTACATTCAGAAATATGACCAACTGTATGTGAAAACTGTTTAATGTACTCTTGAGCTGGAAATTTTGATATTCAGAAATAACAATTATAGTACATAACAACAGAACTTGGCTACTCCTGTGTTCCAATGCAGACAACAGAAGCTTTGTACGTATTTAAAATGAAACTTTAAGGCTAGAAACATTTGAAATGATTCCAGGTTACAACTTTGTTCTAGAGGAAAACTAGGTATTAGAAGAGGCAAGCAGGAAAGAAAATCTTATTGTGTCTCACTCTTACTCATTTGCCTCAATGTTTTCTACTGTTTATTGCTAGTTGCATCTGAAGAAAGGGGCTTTACTTATTAGAATAAAAGAACAGGAAAATATAAAAAAAGAGAGAGATTTAAGTAATCAAGCATAGCTGTTCATATTTTTCCCAGTCTAGAAGACTGTTTCATGCAAATCCCTCAAAAATAGATTCTGCTATAAAAATATCATTCAACAACAGTCACAAATATATTTTTATGTCGTGGCCTCCTATCTTATAGAAAAATTATTTTCAAAACTCTTGAAAAATTCTGCTATGAATTCAGCCATGGCAGCTCAATCAGGCAACACTTTAAAATAAATGGAAGTTATGTAACATAAAATTCACCTATGGTCTGCACAGATAACCCTAGACATAGGGTCAGAACAAAACATTGTAAGGACTGACGCTGGCTCAGAGCTCATTCTGGATAGTTAATTCTCAATTCAAGCCCTTTCCCTGCTTATGCTGCCAGCCATGTCAGAAGTAGGTCACTTGCCATATCTGGTAAGCCTGTGCTTACACCACCAGATGTCTTTAGGCAGACATCAGAAAGTCTTAAAGTGTGCTCTACTCCTCAATGGCAAATCTTTAAAAGTCCTTTACCTCACCCACCCCGCATTAGGAGTCACACCTAGATAAAAATGTGTGAAAACCTTTTTCCTTTTACTTAAGCTTACGTTAAAGACACCTAGTGATTTCACATACTCCAAAAATAACTTTAAAGTCAGATCTTTGAAGACAAAACAATGTGTCTCATGCTAATGTGTGCTCTATTCAAGCAAAAACTGTTACAATTAACCACCTGCCATAAACTCATTAAATACCTCTACTCCAGAGAACATTTAATCAAAGAGAACAGAGGCAGCCTGTAACACAGATTAGAACAACAAGCTGGCTAGAAAACATACCACAGTAAGCCAGTTATTTTGCCGATTACAAAATCAGACATAGCCAGTATCTGCAACTATGCATTTTCCATTTGTTCACAAAAAGGTTAGGATTATACCTGTGTCGTCAGCCATAACATTAGTGCTCGGTTTCCACAGACAGAGCGAGTGTGTCGGTATCTCCAAAATTAATGTTGAAGACAGAAAAGAAACGATTTAGCCTCACTGTAGTCTTGCAACAGGAGCAAACAAGTTTCCTAAAGCTAGCTCAGCTGGAACACGAAACTGGACCCAAGAGAAACCTCTCCTCCAAATCTATTTTTAGAGCAGTTATCCTCAGGAGCCAAACGCTTTTCAGAACTCATATGGCAATCTAGTTCTGACGACAATGAAATTCACTTACTCCTCCTAACAGAGCATCCTGGGTAGCTGATCCTTTCCCCTCCCCTTAATCCTCCAACATCAAACACAGCAGGGGAATGAAACCGAGCACATTGTACTGTAGTATTTTTGCTGCAATGTATGCCTCATTGCCTGAGCTCTAAGGACATTAAATCCATCAGCATAAGCTGAAACACAAGTATGGACACAAAGCTTGCCTGCCTGCATTTGTTAAGTTGGCCCTCACCCAAGAAACTTTCTCCATGTTGGCACTCCTCTACCAGGCTTCCCGAGTATCCTGCAGAGACTGCTCATTTGAAACTTGCTAACTACTTTAAGAACAAAAGATAGCTAATTTCTAAAATTTTGAGTCTTCTAAGAGAAATGAACTTGAAATCAACCACACGCATTCTTGCTGAAGAACTTTCAGATCAGAACTGTTCCCCTGGTACAACTTACATTTGCTTCTAGCAGACCCAAAGGAGTGTTACTGACAGTTTTGCCAAAGCAAACCCTGTTTCCCTAGAGTGCAACACACCGCACACCATGAACACCAGGCAAAACTTCTATTGCATATTTGTTAAAAGTAGCAGAGATGTCGTTAAAAGCAGAAAAGGGATCTGGACAGGCTGGATTGATGGGCCAAGGCCAATTGTATGAGGTTCAACAAGGCCAAGTGCCAGGTTGCACTTCAGCCACAACAACCCCATGCAACGCTATAGGCTGGGGGAAGAGTGGCTGGAAAGGTGCCTGGTGGAAAAGGACCTGGGGGTATTGGTTGACAGCCGGCTGAATATGAGCCAGCAGTGTGCCCAGGTGGCCAAGACGGCCAATAGCATCCTGGCTTGTATCAGGAATAGTGTGGCCAGCAGGAGCAGGGAAGTGATCGTGCCTCTGTACTCTGCACTGGTGAGGGAACACCTCAAATATTCTGTTCAGTTTTGGGCCCTTCACTACAAGAAGGACATTGTGTTGCTGGAACATGTCCAGAGGAGAGCATCAAAGCTGGTGAAGGGTCTGGAGCACAAGTCTTGATGAGGAGTGGCTGAGGGGACTGGGGGTG